CACAAAGGGATTTAAATTGATAGTTATTGGACGAGCATCAGAACGTGTTTGTTGTGCAAATATAAAGTACTGACAGTACTTACTTCTATTGTGTTTTAAGTAAAGGTTTTTAATAATAGTGTAAGACCGTGTCTAGCGAGATTCAGCCAACACGTGTAAGACTGTGTCTAGCGAGATTCAGCCAACACGTGTAAGACTATGTCTAGCGAGATTGGTTACTTTCCTGATTACCCATCTTCAAAGTAAAAATTACTACTGGCTCAGAGGGCATAGCTTTAACAAGACTTTCCAGTTAGTTTATATAATGAGAAATGGAAGTTAATTTTCAATTATAAATGCCAGAACCATATCTATAGAGATTGGTTACAATAATTTGTATTTTGGGGGCAAAATGCTCCCTCCTTTCCCTCTAAATATTTACCAATATGTTCATGTGACTTTGCGTCACGCAAATTCATAACAATACCTTAATTATTTATTCTCCCCCGGCAAAGTCTAAGGTCTTACAACGCTAAAATCCGGGGTTTGATTCCTCGTGCAGGACATAGCAGATAGTCCAATGTGGCTTTTCTACAAAACAATCAAATATTACCGTTAATTCAAATGTACATGTTTTTTTTAATCTTGTCTCGAACATATAAAGTACTTTATGTTACTTATATTTTTGTACTGCTTTAATTGGAATTGATGAATCCTGAAACAAACATAGAAAATCCCAATCGATAGCCGTAAAACCTGGAATCGCAGTACAAATTCTGGGAAGCAAAAACACTGGTGGCGACGCGCACGTGGCGAATTGATTAGCCGAAGGTGATGTTTGTTGATCCAATCAAGATATATGTTCGTATTGAAAAAAGAAAACGCGACTATAGGGCAGTTTTATAAAAAAGTTAAAAATCAGGAACCAGTTTTGTGTATCCTTAGCGAATACAGTTATAGTTAACATTTTTACAGGGGGGCATATCCCCCGTACTTTTTCAAGGATAGAATAATTTCTTTGATAGAATATCCTCATGCATATCGTAGCTAAAGAAACTGTCCCCACCACCACCACCCCTTTGAAACCAAAGTTACGCCACTGGATACAATATTTCTACAGTTGAACTAAATTTTAATAATTTCGATATAAAAATGTGTATGTATGTATGTAGGGGAAATCTGGTACCAGTTTAACGTGCGTGTTTTTGTTTCTTTTTTTTCATGTGTATACAATGTTTCTGCAATTCAAATAAATGTAGAAAAATCGGTATAAAAACGGTGTGGGGAAATTTAGTAAAATTAAGGGGTAGGTTTTTTTTTTCGTGTGTATATA